CCTCACTGCCTCAGCCTGTGCTCCTCGAATGGTGTCCAACATTGGAGTCATCACGGTCAATCGCAAACATATATCTCGCAACGGGGCGCTCTCCGCCCTGCGACTCAGGGTGTCGGCTACCACATTAGGCTTTCCCGGATGGTACAGGATCTCACAACCTTAATCCTTAACCACATCTAACCACCTCCTCTGCCACATATTTAGGTTGGGCTGATCCATTAAATACTTCAGACTCTTATGGTCCGTGTATATCGTACACCGAACCCCATACAAATAGTGGCACCAAATCTTGAGGACGAACACCACTGCCCCCAACTCTAGTTCATGGGTGGGATACCTCCTCTCATGAGGCTTCAACTGCCTCGATTCATATGCTATCGCATGCCTTCTCTGTATCAGCACTGCTCCCAACCCCAAGATCAATGCATCACAGTATACAACAAAGTCTTCCATTCCCTCCGGGAGGGCTAACATTAGGGCCTCGCATAACCTTTGGTGAAGTGTCTCAAAGGTTGCCCGCTGCTCGGGGCCCCATGAAAAAGCGACACCCTTCTGGGTCAACCTAGTGAGTGGCACTATAACCTTAGATAAATCTTTGATAAATCTCCGATAATAACCAGCCAGCCCTAGAAAACTCCTGATCTCGGAGGGTGACCTCGGCACCTCCCAACTCATCACTGCCTCAACTTTGGCCGAATCGACCAATATCCCTTCCTGGTTAACAAGATGTCATAGGAACTGGACCTCTCGCAAACAGAAATCACACTTGGAGAATTTGGCATAAAGCCTCTCCGATCTCATAACTCTGAGGATCTCCCTCAAATCCTCCTCATGCTTCTCTCTAGATCTCGAATATACCAAAATGTCATCAATGAATTCAATCACCGACCGATCCAACATCAGCATGTATACCCGGTTCATGAGATCCATGAACACTTCCGGGGCATTGGTGAGTCCGAAAGGCATCACCACAAACTCATAATGCCCATAACGCGTCCTAAACGTTGTCTTCTGGACGTCCTCATCTCGCATCCTCAACTGATGGTATCCAGACCTCAAATCGATCTTGGAGAACCAAGATGCTCCCTACAACTGGTCGAACAAATCGTCGATCCTTGGCAACGGGTAACGGTTCTTGACCATCAGCTTGTTCAACTCCCGGTAATCAATGCACATCCGGTGCGAACCATCCTTCTTCATGACAAACAGAGTAGGCGCTCCCCACGGTGAGATGCTCGGCCGAATAAACCCTTTCCCCAGCAGCTCCTGAAGCTGCGAGGATAACTCTTGCATCTCTGGAGGTGCAAGACGATAAGGCACCTTAGCGATATGTGCGGCCCCCCAAAACCAAATCAATACAGAACACTACTTGCCTCATGGGAGGCACACCCGACAACTCCTCTGGAAAGACATCCAGGAACTCACGCACTATAGGAACCTCCTTGTAACACCCCGAAATATCAAGAGTAGAGTTGAAGGGATAAAACTATAAATCTTGAAGGGCAACTCGGCGAGTCCATGGATGGACTCGGCGAGTAGGGTCGCGACTTTAGTCGCATGTCAAGTGGCCTACTCGGCGAGTCCAAAGATGGACTCGGCGAGTAGGTGCTAAGTGGAGAAAACCCTAATTCTCGGGGTTGATCCCTATATAAAGAAGTTAACATCCATTCCCCTAGCCTCTTTACTCATCCTCAAGTTCAGAAACCCATAGTATTCATGTGTGTGTGGATCAAAGTGCATTTGGGAGCTTGAAGGGTATTTGTTGAAGAAATCTTCGGAGTTTGGAGGCTTGGAGCAAGGGGCTTTGCTTGGATTCGAGTTTCATTGCAGTTGGGGCGTTCTTTTTAGGTAATATCTTGTTCTTGGGCTGTTACTCATATGGATTCATCATTTTGGGGTTTATGGGAGCTTATCTTGGTATGTTTTGGAGTTTGGAGGTTAGATCTGAGGTTGCTACCTCAGATCTGGAATGGGGGAGGTCTAGAGTGCATTAAAGTCCCTGTTCTTGAGTGCTTACTGAAGTCATCATGTCCGAAACCCTAGCTCTAAAGTGTATAAGGCCTAGATTTCTTCGGATTCACGTAAAGTTTGCCACTTTACGTGACGGATGGGTTGTAGGAGGCGAGATCTATGTTTTGGATCAATTGCATGGCCTGGAACGCTTCTATATGTATTCAGACCGGCGGTACTCGGCGAGTCACAAGGGTGGACTCAACGAGTTGCTTGAAGATGAGCTGGAACTCGACAAGTTGGATGAACAACTCGGCGAGTAGGTTGAAGATAGCCTTAGACTCGGCAAGTCTGTTCTTGGACTCGGCGAGTCTTGTCGAAGAATCCCAATATTTTCTGGTTGAGTCGAGAATCAGTGAGTCAAGGGATGACTCGGTGAGTTGGGTGCGAGTGGACTCAGAGTTGTTGGACTCGGCGAGTCTCGAGGTGACTCGGCGAGTCAGGTCGCAGATTGAGGGAAGTTCTGAGCTTGGGGACTCGGCGACTCATCGGGTTGACTCGGCGAGTATAGTCAGTCAGGGGTTGACTTTGATCGTTGTCCAGAGTTGACTAATTTGACTTTGTAGTGTCAGTCAGCCAGACTCAAGGTGGTATTAAGTAGAGATATTCTTGTGTTGTAGGAGGACGATAGCTCGGGAGATCGAGCGCTAGTGATTCCGAGATATATGAGGTGAGTCTTCTCACTATACTTTACCTTGAGTAGGTAACCAGAGTTATGTGACAGAGTATTTGTATGCTATGTATGTTATGTGTTGTACTACATTATTTCTATGTGATTTATGCTTTGCATGTTTACATAGTTAGAACCTGAGGGTTCACAGAGTTAGGTGCACGGACCCATAGAGTTATAGCCTCGAGTGGCTAATATGTGTTATATGCAGTGTCTTGGGGAACTCACTAAGCTTTGTGCTTATAGTGTTTGATGTTAATTGTTTCAGGTACTAGTGACGACCGCGGGAAGGCGCCGGCTTGATCAGTACACACACACGGGATTTATGATTTTGAGATCTTGGGATTTTGTATTACTTGGATTGAACGATTGAAAATGGTTGCTTTCTGAATATTAAATGAAATATGTTTTATAAAAATTTGAAAATTGTGTTTTTCAATTTACGGTGTTACAATTTGGTATCAGACCCTTGGTTTGAGGGATTCGGATGCACCTTCGGGCGTGTTTGAAGTCAAACCGAGGATTTGAGAAATTTTATAACCAAAACTACAAATTTTCTAAAAATCAAAAAGAAGTCTTGGAGACAAGCAGAGTGGAAGGTGTGTACGGTCAGCCAGCGCCCGAACGGTGAATCCCTAAAATACCCTTACTTTTGTGTTATGATATATTTATGATGCACTTTATGAGATATTATTGCATGCTAGAGACAAGCTAGGTATTCCATATCTTAGGACTAGAGTGGCCTGATTTGTGATGCCTTAGCCTAGGGATTGCTGTTTTATGCGATGTGCTTTTGAGTATGTGATGAGTGAGAATATTTAGTTGGAATCCTCGAGGGGATTCGAGTAGAAGAGTAATCTAGGGGAGATACCAAGATAAGTACCGTGGTACTTAGCAAAGGAGTAGTTAAAACCCGCGAGGGGAAGAGTTGCAGAGTTCGGTGGTACTTTCGAGGATGAGCTGAGCAAGCGGAGTTATAACCCAGAGTGAGTTATATATCCTTCGATGCTCGAATGCTGCTTGCTTCGTTCTTTGTGGAACTCTCGATGATGGGAGTCAGCTACCAAGCGAATATGACGATATTTAGGAGGTAGATGGCTGCCATCATTAGGAGCTCTTCAGGAGCTGGTGGCAGAGAAGTGTGAGAATCTAGGAACAGCCTAGGGAGTATCTGTAGCCAGATGAGTGCGCTGGCAGAGTAGAGAATTTCGTTGGAGAGCAAGCACGCGATGGAATTGGGGATCGAGAAGGTCGAGTAGCTACTTAGGAGCTCTGGGATAGTCCGTGTGGAAAGTATGGGTAGATGTGGAAGGTAGTATGGGCCCGTACTACTGAAAGCAGAGGACCCATACTTGATACAGGGGGTAGTAGTAGGCACTTCTAGGCCCCTTCCCGGCTACTGGATCACTCCAGTGCTTCGAGTACTACGGACCCTCTGCCATCCATTGCAGCAGAGCCCTTTCATGAGCGGGGGAGGGCTAAGCACAGTTCTTTGAATCAAACGTTGAATGAAATAGATTCTTTTTTCGATATCAAAATAGAAATCGGATAGGATAGATGGATGGATCTATCTTTCTATTTATATATATTACTAAAAAAAAAAGGATTTTTCTAGTGAAGTAGCGTAGCAAGAAGCCCCAAATCCCCCCTGTATAGAAGTCTGTGCGATTTTTCCCCTTATCTTCTGGCCGACGCTCCCCTTACCGGTATCAGTGCAAGGGCAATTAGTACGGGTTGCCATAGTAGTCTGGATGGATTGGAACGAAGGGATGAAGGAGGGCCGGCCTGCCCAACAAGTAGACCGGAATAACTAGCTTCTAGTCCAACTAGCTAGAGCTCCAGCCCAAGCCTCCAAATCGAAGCTTCGGAGAGCCTTCTCCCATGCGATTTCTTCCCCCCAAAAATGCCAGTTCCACCATCAGGGCCCAGCAAGCACCATAATTCTGTTCCGAGGCTGCGTTTCATTCCAGCAACAGTAGTCTATGGTTCGAAGCGCCTTTTCCTTAAGCATTTCTTTCTCCATCTAAGGTCAGGGAGGAACCTGAGGGAAAAACCGCTTTCTTACCGGAAGAAAGAGGGAGCCGCCCGTCCCGGGAAACGAAGTACGCTTTGGTGAGCGAGAAGCAGCCAGGTATAGGGGAAGGGGCGGTGGGCTTAGTAAATATAGTATATAGTTCCACTTGGTGAATAGTGCCTCGGCTCGGTTGAGTCATTTTTTTCGCTCGGCTCGCGGCGGACTTGTTCTAGTAGAAATAAATTTTTATCTGGGAAAAAGACATAAGATTTGTTCGCTAGAGCTCATCACTGAAGAATGGTGGCTTTACTTTTTGGAATTAGAGAATAACTTCTTCGCGTGAGCGGCGTACAGGCCGGCTGGTCGGGGTTGTTTCCCCCCCGCTACCACAAAGATCACTGCCCAGCCACCGCTCGAGGGTACCTCCGCTCCCCAACTGAGCAAAATGGATAAAATTCGCGGGAAAGGAGAGATAAAAAAAGGGAAGGTTCTGCTGAGACTCAAGTTCCCCTGCCGGAGCTCCCCGAACCTGAAGTAGAAGTCGAGGGGCTGCTCAGTGAGAAGAAGCGTCAAATGATTCGGACAGTTGTCGCGCTGGCGGAGCAGGGAGCCTACAGGGAAGATTGGGGCAATGAGGAGTTCGACGTATCTTTCCGGGCGCACGCATAAAGGCATGATTAGTTCCACAAATCTCACTGCACTGACCATAGTAAACTCCTTCTCGTTGTACCGAAATAGAGGTTTGATTTAAACGACCAGGTACAGCATCACATTTTACACCTGAGGAAGGTACAGCCCAACTATGAAGTACATCAGCAGATGTTACAATAATACGTAGATGACTTTTGGCTGGTACAACCACTCGATTGTCCACTTCTAATAAACGTAATTGACCCAATTCTAGATCATCTTCTGGAATCGTATAACTGTCAAAAGTGAGTGACTGTTCATCGGAACTGTTATAGTCCGAATACTCATAAGGTTGGGTCGACGCCCGTCTCCTTCTGAAGTTTCTAATGAGCGTATTGAGGAGTGATGTTATGGTTCAAGTACTATACATCGGAGTAGATGAAGGATTGATGCTATGGTTCGAGTACCATACATCGAAGCAGATTGAGGAGTGATGTTATGGATCGAGTACCATACATCGAAGAATATTGAGGAGTGATGTTATGGATCGAGTACCATACATCGGAGCAGATGGAGTAATCAATCAATAGAGGATATGTCACCTTCTATGACCTGAGTGGTGTTATTTATGTTCGTGTGCGAAACATGAGAGGCATGATGTTTAAGTTTTGGTTTTGGGGGTAAACCCTGCAGGTTGTCATTGATGATGATTATCCCTCCAGAGTATCAGGTAGCATGTGTGCCACGAGGCAGTGATTATCATGAGTAGATAGTCAGTTAGGACTGAGATAGTCGAGGACCACGTTACACCTATTTGAGTATAGTAGGGCGTATTGTAGTGGTATCAGTGGGGAGTCCAGTAGAGTTTATCAGTGCAGTGGTTTTCGATCTATGTTGGGTATTGAATATGAGAGTCCGTGTTCTTGGGACGATCCATGTGTTGGAACATTGGTTGATGAGTCGAGGTGGGGGAGTACGATGATTCGTGGTTCAGTCTATGGGTCAGTGATGTTATTGGACAGTTGAGTTGTTTGGTATTGGATTGGTACGAGACCTGGAACGACTAGAGGCCATCGTGACATGAAGTTCTTGAGGACTTCATCTGAGGTTTAGAGTCCATGAGATCGATTGATTCCCTTAAAGGGGATTTTCAGGCGTTGCGCAGCACTTGCCAGGGGCAGGTGCGATTCTGCTGGTAAAAATAATTAGCAGGATGGTTGTATGCCAATTAGGGACGGTTCGAACCCTAGTGGGGGAGAACTGGGTATTTTATTGAGGGAACCAGAGATTTGTGCAAGAGCGGTTAGGGGTTGAATATAGGAACTTGCGGCTTGAATTCATGGGATCAGGGTCATTGGTGATCAGGGAAAGTTGCAGGGCGAGAAAATGCAGGTGGTATATGTCTGAGAGAGAGAGAGAGATGGGCGTCTCCACGGCAGGTAGCGAATGGATAGGAATCTGGTGGTGATCAGGGTCGTTTCAAGTGGAAGGCTCGTGATGACAGTATAGGCAGTCGAGAACTTCTGGGTCGAAGTATGGATTGTTTATGCCTTTTTGGGGTGGTTAGAACATCATCGAGCAGCCAACTTCCGGGCCGGTATGTGAATTCTTGCAAGGATTCTGAGCAGTAGAGGAAAGTATTTCGGAGGATCATCAGTGTGTTCTGAAGCATCAGCACTTTCCTTGTATTCCAAGTGAGTGTCTGGATACACTGAAGTTGCGCATTGGGTACAATGAAGAATTATTATGAGGCTCAGAGGAATGTCTTGTTGTATATGTATGGTGCTGGGAGTAGGAGAATCAGTGGTAGAGGCAGGACATTGTGATGTTCGGTGATGGTGTTCTGTGGTTTCCGTGTATAGCGTCTTGATTTCGGAGTTATTTAGAGTCTTGAGTTTGAAGCGACTAGTGATGTATCATGTATCTAGGGTTCCAGTGGGAGCCCTTCGCGTATTGTCATCAAGAGGGAATTATTTAAGGAAGTGGATCTCCGCAGAGATGGGTTCTGCGTATAGCGGTTGCCGCTAGACTCTGTAATGCATATTGGGGCAAGTGTGTAACTACCTATGATATTCTTCGGTGATTGAGTTAGTGAGCATAGTGAGGCGTTGTAATGCGAATGAGGGTATAGGGTGATACTACGGGGGGCCGTAGTATTTGCCAGTTAGAGGGTGTTGTAATGCTACGGGGAGCCGTAGTACTCGCAAGCCAGAGAGAGAGAGAGAGTCGTGGTACTACGGGCAGCCGTAGTATTCGCCAGTCTGAGGATGTTGTGATGCTACAGGGAGCTGTAGTACTCACAAGTCAAAGAGTGGGAGTCGTGGTACTGTGGGAAGCCGTAGTACTCACTAGTCGGTTGGCATTGTGGTACTACGAGGAATCGTAGTACTCACTAGTCAGAGTCTGTTATGATATTGAAAGAAGCCATAGAACTCGCTAGACAGCAACAGAGTGTGATGATGGAGTGTTCTCCGATCAGTGTACGATGCAGAGGAGTTTTAGGATTGAGTAGCCTTAATATTGAGTTTTGGAGCCTAGTGGTTAAACTGGGGCGAGGCTACGGCCTCCGCCTCTTTCGAGAGATTCAGCAAGGTGCGCAGGAGATATGCGCAACAAACTCCAGAGGTCAGAGTTGATTCGATCTTCGATCGGATTGCATTTTTCGTATGAGGAGAAGAGAATTTAGTGACTTGCGTGTCACTGGGCCGGAATATTTGTCAAAGGGAGGAAGTTGGTGTGATATATTGGGTCAAGATATGTGTGACCTTTGGAGGTTCAGCTGTGGGGCCAAAAGCTGATCTGGTGTTTAGTATCGAAGAGGGATATCAGAAATGAGGTAGAGTTTACCTTGGTGATGCCCGAGGACACTGCAGAGCAAGCGAACGATTCAGACGCTCGAGGACATACTTCAGGTATATATATATATATATATATATATATATATATATATATATATATATATATATATATATATATAAAATAGATTTCGGAGAGAGTTGTGACATGTATTTTCCCTTGGCAGAGCTTTCCTGCAACAACAGCCATCAGTTGAGCACCAGTGTGCCAACGTTTGAGCTAATGTATGGGAGGAGGTGTCGTTAGATCAGTAGTCATTGAGCAGCGTGATTGCGGTGGTGGTATGGATGACAACATGTTGGGGTGACTGCTGAGGACGCGGAAGGGATTCCGCGGGTGTAGAGCCAAGAGTCTCAGGATGGATGCAGGGATGGAGTCTGGGACTCCCAGCTTGATTCTGATCTGGGAGTCGTGTGTGTAGTGGTTGTTCCCCCTGGGGATGCTGGAGATGTCTTCAGTGTGATGGGTTTTCCTAACATGAGAGTGTGAGGACTAGTGCAACATGTGCGTGTGATTGCAAGAAGAGGACTCGTGGGAGTTACTCTGAGATTGAAAAATGGGTCTTTCGGTCAGCATGGAATGGATAGAGTGGGATTCGGATCAGGGATCCGGTGGTTCATGGTTTTCTAGCTCTTGTGGGTCGGGTGATTGTTGAGATTTGGAGCAATGATGCATCATTGGAAGTACTCAGTTGTTGTGTGTGGATATCGGAGGGTAAAGCCAGTGCCCAGGTTGAGACGGTGGTCAGGACACCGCAAGGAAAGAGAAAGTGAGTTCAAGTTTCGCTGGGTATGCCTTGAGGGACCTGGTCCGGTTGAGGCTAGGTGGCGTGTTGTGGGAGTATTTTTGGAGATGAGTTGTCGTAGGCTTCGAGGATGAAGCCTAATTTAAGTGGGGGAGAATTGTAACACCCCGAAATATCAAGAGTAGAGTTGAAGGGCTAAAAATGTAAATCTTTAAGGGCAACTCGGCGAGTCCATGGATGGACTCGGCGAGTAACGTCGCGACTTTGGTCGGGTGTCAAGTGGCCTACTCGGCGAGTCCAAAGATGGACTCGGCGACTAGGTGCTGAGTGGAGAAAACCCTAATTCTCGGGGTTGAGCCCTATATAAAGAACTTAACATCCATTCCCCTAGCCTCTTTACTCATCCTCAAGTTTAGAAACCCTTAGTATTTGATATGTGCATAATTAGTTAATTATTTAGCATATATTCTTAGTTATTTTTGACTAATTATGTGAATAATGTGGACAAAAGGTACTTAAAATGTTGTGAATTTTGTTTTCAGTCCAAAAGATATGCTTGGAAGCAAAAAGGAGAAAAGGAAGCAATTGAAGATCAAAGAGTGAAAGAAGGTGATATACTCGGCGAGTAGATCGACCCTACTCGGCGAGTACACGAGGAAGTTCCAGAAGATAAATACGACTGCTGATTCAAGACGGATAAGTATGGATCTACTCGGCGAGTTGATTCTGCTACTCGCCGAGTACACCCTGTTTTGGGATATCTATAAAATACGAATCCTTATCTCATGGGAAGGGACTCCTGGCGATTTTTGAAGGTTTAGTTGCGACTAAGAGATTCAGAAGACGCTAAGGAACCATAGGCTTCAATATTTGGAAGAATTCAAGCAATTAGGTTAATTCTACCACTTAGACTTAGGAATTGAATATGTTTGCTTTAGTAAACTTTGTTTTTATGTTTGTTTCTACTGCAATTATGAGCTAAATTCGTTTTTGTTTCTGTTTGGGGAATACCAAAGAACTCCTATGGTTTGATTATTGATTTTGCTTAATTGTCTATTGGTGATTTATTAAATTAAGTTTGTTAAAGAACCTTATGTATTAATCACTACTATTTTCTGTTAATTGGAAGGCAATTAGGTTGCATGAACATCACTTAATTGTTAACCTCATATGTCTATGTGAATGCTAAACCATATGCTTAGAAGTAATGATTATGAAACTAAGATTAATAAGAAAATAGGAAGATTAATGTGTGAGCTTGTTTGAGAAACCATCAACAAGAGGTTAATTGAATTAATAACTTAATTGACCATTACAAATCTTATTTAATCCAAATAATTAATCTAGGGAATTAATTAGTTTAAACACTTGATCAACGCTTAAATTAGTTAATTGTCTAAGGGTTAGGAGTAATGAATATGAACCTAACTATTATAATTGGTAACCAATAGCAATTAATCTACCTTAAACTTAAATA